CCGTTGAATTCGATACTTTTAGCCTATAGTCTTGGTTGTTGACTATCGTAATCCGACTTTTGAGTTAGTGGACCACGTTTAGTTCGGTATAGACAATGAACTTTGTATGTATGTAAAAGCGGCGGGAGATTTGAAATTCTGCCCTGTCATACTCATTAAGTACCGTCGTGCCTCGGTAATTAAATCCAGCCCGTTGAATTTCATACCTTTAGGACATAGAGTAGGTGTATGGCTACAAGTATCAATCTTTGAATTTAACGGGCCACATTTTGTTAGACGGCAGATACACTTTATACCCTTTCCAGCAGCCCACTCAGATGGCGTAAGATTTGAAATTCTGCCCTATCGATCATACGTAAGTATACCCTTGTGCCTCCTTAATCAAATCCGACCCATTGAATTTGATACTTTTAGTGTATATAGTCTTGGTTGTTGACTACCGTAATCCGTCTGTAAAGGCCACGTTCAGTTTGGTGCAGCTATAACTGCTGAGTACACATATCTCTTATGCCTAATTAGGCCCGCTGTCAACGGCCTAATTAAATCCGGCAGGTAAAATCTGAAACTTGTAGTAGACTTGTGATGTAATAAGCTATCATAACGCTTTTTTCAAGTTCATCTGCCATATTTTTTGGCTAAATTACTGATTTTTTGGGTTTTCGAATCGGTACCCGAATCAGTTGCTATGTTCCATCTAGCGGCGAAACGCCGGCTGTAACGCCGGCTACGAATCGAAGGCTGAAACGCCGGCTAGCTTCACCTTGGTAAACATTTTTAGCAGATAATTATATATCAGGGGGTACATCAAAATAAAAAACCTAAAGATGTTTTGACAATTTGTGATTTTTCAATGTTCAATTTGTTTTCAATTTTAAAGATGAATTCATGACTAAATGCTTTTGTATTTGTATAATTAGGAATGAGTGAGTGTGTGTGTGAGGTATTTTATAATGTTGTACATTAAATTTTGTAGTTCTTTTTAAAAGGCATTCTTAAAGTGTAGTACATGTACAATTCTTAAGTTTTATCTGAAAATTCATCAGGAAAGTTTCATCTGAGAGTTCATCAGGAAAGAACGATCTGCAGTGTTAAGTTTATCCCAACACAACATTGATAAATTTTCAAAGACCACTGTCATCACATTCATTAGGATCTATCCATGACCAATCACTTCCAAATGTAAACCTGAGAGTTACAGACAAGTGACCTTATTCACCCCAGACTTTATTGATACGTGAAATCAGCAGTTGATCATGATAAGTTAAATGTTTAGGCCACACCAATTTAATTTATTGGTTCTCAGATTTTTTCAGAAAAAAATATGAAGCGACAGGGAAAAAAAAAGATAACAATAAAAACAGGCCTAGGCATCCTATTATAGCCCCAAATGCTATGATAGCAGCCATAAAGTCAACACAAAAGGCTGGGTCAATATTCATTTAAACAATGAATTTTGAACTTTTAATCAAACCACTGCATTGATAGATGGAAAAAGTTTAACAACTAGGAAGAAAAGGACTTTTCTTAACTGTTGGGGGTAAAATATAAGCATTTTGAGCTGATTCAGAACCAGAATCTTCTTTTTTTTTCAAATTAAAAAGAAAAAAAAACAAAGAGGCGAATCCGATAACCAACAAATTAAATTGGTGTGGCTTTACAAGTGTGTCTACTTGTTTTGCAGAAGTTGAAGAAGCTGGATCTCTCCAGATGTAACCGCCTGACCTCCTACGCCATGTCCATGGCTCTGAGTTACCTTCCCAAACTGGTCTACCTCAACCTGTACAGCACCAACTGTACCGACGAAGTCCTGGGCACGATCGGCGCGATCTGTGTCCAGCTACGAGACCTCAACATCTGTAAAACACACATAACTGACAAGGGAATAATTTCCCTCTGCGGGGGAGGTGACGGTATTCACGGGTGTAGAAAGCTGGTCAGTTTAGATGTATCATTCAATCCGAGAATAACCATCAAAGGAGTTAAACACGCACTAAGACAACTGCCTAACCTCAGACAGTTACTACACAACGATGTGTGTGACGCCTTGGTCGTTTTACACAAAGAAGCTTTCAAAGAAGGGAAGGCAACAACACCCTACCAGTTACGTAGTGGAACTGTGAATGATTTTGTCGTCCCTGTAAGTTTTCTTGAGATAGTTGATCTAGTCTGCCCCAATCTGGAGTATATCTTCGTACTAAATGAAAACCTTGAAGGTGAAGTACTTCAGCATATATCGCGGCTAGCTCGTCTGAGAAACCTCTCAGTATCGTGTACTGACTCCGTAGTACCGTTCAGTGAGGGGCTCATGTCTCTCCTTGCGAGTGTTGGCCGTGGACTTGAAACTCTCACCTTGTACGGCTACGATGACATTGATGTCATCGCCATCGGTCAGTCCTGTCCAAACCTGAAGACCCTCACCCTCGAAAGCTGTCACGGCTTTAAACTCGAACATGCCCAAACTGTCATCCCGACTGCTCTGTTCGGTAACCTGAAATCTCTCAGGCTTGGAGTTGAGATCATTTCTAACACCCTCGAAGCAACCCTTCCCAACAGTCTGAAGATTGTTCTGGAAGGGGGTCACCAGATTGAGAACATCGAGATCACAAACGTGGAAGGGTTTACTGATGAGTTGTTCCGGCAGGTGTTAAACCAGAACAGCTTCCATAAGCTGCGAGAATTTGCCCTGATTGACTGTAACAACATCACAGGCTCCAGCATGTTTGAACTGTTGGAAGGAAAGAACAATCTCCAGAGACTGGTGCTGCTGAACTGTAAGGAAGTGATGAGAAGAGACTACGATCAGATGATGAAGGTTGTTGCCAGGGAACACTTTCAGCTTGACATAACGTGGACGTAATTTTTTGGCAACACCACAGGAGTGGAGCTTGCTTCATTTTGTTTTTGCACCTTTAAAACTTGAAACTTGAACAAGGACAACTAAAAAAGACACATTGTTTTGTTTGTACATATATCCTGTAAATATATTGATTTCTAAAGATCATACTACATTATTTGGATGTTTTTTTCCTAATTTCTATCAATTTCAGCTGTAAGTGCACAAATTTTTATGACGTTCTATGATACAAAGAGTCCGTCTTCAAACACATACTAGTATAAGCAAAGAATAGGAATATCCTGTTATGATCTTATGGTGCAAATTTAATGGAAATCTTTTATAATAGAGCCCTACTCAACATAACTGGCCTTTATTATGTACATTGTGTATTAAACGATAATTAGTGTGACCAATACAACAGTGCAATTTAACAATGCTAAAATATTATAAGAGGCTTATTGTATATTATTATATATGTAATGATCTTCTTTGCACTATTGCTTAAGGTACAATGTACTAGTACAGGTATATTATTAAATGATATGTAACTTTTTTTATCCACGTATATTTTCCGAGAATTATGCAAAAAGTAACAGCATACTTAACTAGACATACTATTCACGAATACAAATAGAAGTAACACAAACGGGTTGGCAAGTGTCTCTATTTATCTACAGAGAATTATGTGTATCAACTTTGATCAGTTGCTGGACTTCTTGGTAATACAGCTATACTAAACTTTGGCAAGACACATTAGGCCACAGCAAGTAAATTTTATGAATGGCATTCTCCGCTGACTCTAAAACTAAAGCGATAGGGCAAAAAAAAAACAAGATTCCTAAAATTTCAAATATTGACATCATAAATCACGTTAAACCATAAATGATACATATATTGTAAGTTTACTGCCAACTATTACGCACAACATCCATGTGTCGACTGGAACAATTGTGAAAAAAAGTTTTCAATCATAATTTGCAAGTATGATTTTGATTTAGTGGGAATATCACATATAAAAGGAATGAAATACATGACTGCATCATAGGCAGACATCTTTGCCCTTTTTCGGCATGTTAACCACTGTCAGAGGGCGACAATTTTTTTTTCAAAGTCAGGCGAAAATTAATGTGCGTGCTGATGTCACTCATAAAAATTTCTTGCTGTGGCAAATTGTAAAGCTTAATCTTAAGTCTCACATAGTAAAGACATGAGAACAGCATGTAGACAAAGGCAGTTAAAACAAAGGCCATCAAAAACATTTTACTATAAAAATGCTTTTTCCGATGCCAGAGAGCATTTCAGTGCTATGTTAAAGTCATTACTTGGGAACCCACATCCAGCCTTGTATATGGATTTCGTTTGGACTTCCTCCTCTCTCTTTGTCACTTCTACCACGAGTTTTGTGGAGGAGAGATATGATTATAGACAAACATCTGATAGCGCTTGGAAATGTTTATATCTCGACAAGAGAACACATGTCACGTCTTGTCTGAGGTTCAAGAAAGCTGAAACGTGGTCCTGTCCTTGGTGCTGATCGCGTCACCCAATCAGAGAACAGGGTGCACTTTTCAAATCGGTCAGAAGAGGCCGCTGCTGCACAGTGCTTTTCATCGTATATTTATGGGTTCACCACACCACGAAGTGGTGGTGAACCCATATTGCTTTTTCTGATGTTTCTTCTCCTCCTTCTTCTTCTCCTGCCATATCTTTAAATGGATTCAGCTTCTTCATTTTAGGGCCTAAGGTCCTGAAATTTGGTATGGAGGTACAGTGGGTAAATACCCCTAGGCGTTTTTTATCTCGGCCGCCTGAGCGGCCGAGATATTGTGCCCCAAAATAGGTACCTTGGTACCTTGGATGTTCGTTGATTTCGACCGTGAAAACCAATTTCGACCGTGAAAACCAATGAAACCAATTACTCTGCATGTATACTTTACTTTGTGGCGTCGACCTACCGGATGATAGTGTCATTATTCTTATACAACGAAGTTGCTAAAAAAAGAGGAAATGCTGTTTACCACAAAACCATTGTTTTATATCATAGTATGCATTTAATGTTCTAGAATTTCGCTAATAGCTGCTGTAATTGGACCAATAAATCAATGACATAAATTATGTACATTAACCTTCCATATTTGCTTAAGTCGCAAGATGTCGCTTTTGATTGGTGAATAAATCACTGTGACGCACGTAAATATTCACTTGAAATGAGAAATTACCGCCCAACAAAACGGACCATTAGATTCCCAGTGCTGTATTACTCTTTTGTTCTTGTGGTCAACTTGTTTTCTTTGCTTGAATCGCGTAAAAGACCAAGGAAATACAATGAAATCGGCAATCGGCCCGTGTTACGCGCCGAAATGATGCATTTGAATGGTATATATAAAATGACATAGTTCAGTCACGATGCACCAAAACAGGCCATGAAATGTATCCCCGTATTCCCAACAAGTCAGACCATCACACAGTGGAAAGTTGATCATATCAAAAAGGGTCTGAAGATGAGATTTGGGGCGTCAAAGTTGACCGTCAAATGCATCAATTTGGCGAGGTTTCCGTGTTGTTTCACGCTCTGCATGGGGGTTTGGAGAAGACCGATTGTCACATCCACTTCCGGGTCATCTCAGATGTGCACACAAATTACATTCATTGTAACACACATCGACCGCTAGTTATCACTAATAAAGGTAATACACAGGAATAAGTACAGCGTTACTGGAATGTTGCCTATTTTTGTCTGGAAAAAAGTTGTCGCTCGGTGTTAGTCTGTAACGGCAGTGAACCTTAATCCGACGCAACCTTAATCCGACACTTTTCAACACTCCTCTGTCTGTTAGGATCTAGCACTGATATGCAAAATCTTTTAATTGCTTTACAAACTCAATAAGGTACACAGCCTAAAAACTTGAAACAGTAAGCTAACGAAGTCAACATGTTGTGGAGACGAGGTCATGAAACTTTTCAGCCTGAATTATCTGCACTCTCACTCAAGATGACAATACAGGTGCTGGGCTTGGTAAAAATTTAATGTAACATTTCAAATCCACGGGTGGAGGGTGGGAGGATTTTTTCGAGGATTTGCTAGAGTGACTGCACTAAGCACGCTATTAGAACGGAAACCGAATGCGACCTCAGGTCGGAGGTCAGAAGTCATTTCCGTGCAGTCAATTAACTGATTTGGTTCTGCGCCCCAAATACTGACAATTATCTGCACTCTCACTCAAGATGACAATACAGGTGCTGGGCTTGGTAAAAATTTTAATGTAACATTTCAAATCCACCGAGACCAAGCCCATAGGGAGAGAGTAGGGTGGGGAGAGTGCAGTAAGTGTAGTAGTGAGGCCAGAGGCGGAGGGAGGGAAGCCGAAACAAAGGCCACAAGGGCCGAGGGCTAACAATGAATCCGTAGAACAAGCGCCGAGGGGCTGATAGTGAACTGGTACAACAAGAGCCGACACTGCGGTGCGGCGACAACTGGCTAACAATGAGTGAGCTAAAGAACCGAAGCATATTGCGAAATTGGTAGATAATAAGGCGAAACTGACGGACAAGCTGAACAACGGGAACTACTAGGTACTAACATGGAAGTTCACCAAGTCTGTTATGTAAACGGTACAAAACTGGCTCAGAGCAGGGCCGCTAGTAGCAGTAACGGGAGATACGGAGGACTGCCCTGTCATGCCTAATACAGGTAGTCAAACTAGTGCTAAGACATGATATATATACATGAGAACAAGATGCCGTACAAGGCATCGGATAAATCAACAGTAGAACAATAAACGTGAGTTCGTGAAGAGTTCGTATGAGTCTATACTGCGGCCCGGTCCGGTTCCAGGAAACCTTGGTTGATTCTGGTCGCAAGTAGAGTAGCGAACGAACGTCGCTGCTCGAAGGAGCTGTCAAGGTACGACTGGAAAGCGTCCGAGCTCCAGTCACCGAGCAGTTTGATGAGCTGAGGATCTGCTCCGCAATGCCAAGCGAATGTCGCTCCGCCGCGGCGGAAACTATGACCGGAGTAGTCACCGGACGGCAGTCCAGCGGCCGCGAGCAGAGTTTTGAGATGTGCCACCAGAGAGTCATGTGTCAATGATACCAACCTGCCCGCCGAGCCCGGCACGAGGAAGGCTGGAGAGTCCGATCCAACCGGGAGAAGGCTGCACATGTTGACGTACGCATGTCGTGGGCACAGGGGATGGCCGGGAATGGCCGGCACAGGAAGCAGCAGGACCCTCTGCTTGAACTGTAGAGTCTTGGACCATGTTATACGCACCACAAGTCCGTCCGAAGTGACACGGATAGCACCCCGAGTCAGGTGCTTGCCTGGGTCAAACGCAGACGTTGTCTTAGGCACGAGATTCGACTTCCGAAGTAGTGTGAAGAAGGCAACGGTGTATGCCGCCCACAAGGTGGCATGAAGCGGTCTATTTAGATCCAGGTGATCCCGCAGCCGTAGTAGGATAGCCGGAGTAATGGGAAGTTTACGCTGCGGAACGTGCAGGGATTGTCGGCGGAACGAGGAAAGTACAAGACGTAGCTCGAACGCGTCAGATGGCGGAGGCTCGCACCCGTGGAATCGTTGGAGCAGTCTGGCACCGTGGATGTAGATCTGGACCGTGCTGGGGCTCTTCAAGGAGCGTGAGAGGAACTGAGCGTATCTGGTCAGAGTCCTCGCGTCTGTGGGAATGGCTGTAAGCCGGAAATACTCACAGAACAACAGGAACGCTTTCCACTGAGTCCGTAAGTTAGCGTAGGTACCCGCGGCAAATGCAGACCTCTTGGCCGCCTCGACTTCATGGTCCAAGCGCTGCAGCTGCGTGTGATGACCTGTAAAATTACAACTGAGTCAGTAAATCGAAGTGCTGCAACGATACTTCTACCTCACAGACGTGCATGTGTGCTGATAAACGCAGAAACTCGTTCTGGTGATAGTCGGAAGACGTCCAGCGACTGAGGTGATCAGCAAGGCGATTCTCGAGGCCAGGGATGTGAATGGCGCGAAGCTCGAACTGCCCTACGGCCGCACAGAGCCACAGATTCCGTAAGCAGGTTTGGAGGAACGGTGAGCGGCTCCGGCCAGAGTTCAGCAC